ACACAATATTATAGGTTACTAACTAAAAATTGAAAAAACAACAATCAATAATAAAAAATAATAATAAAAAATTGAAAAAATCAAAAAATTCTTAAAAAATTGCAAAATAACCCTTTTTCGGGTTAAAATTGAAAAAAGATGTTGGATAAAAATAGTTTCTAAGATTTTCTAACAGCATATATGCAAAGTATTTTGATTTATTTGAAAATAATTGAAAATAGATTTTTCCAGAACGGTGTCGAGGTCACGGGGTCGGTGTCGTTTTTCGAAATTTGTTAACTTAATATAATAGAAGATGTTTCGTTTTAAATTAAGAAATGTTAAAATTATTAAGTTAAAAACATTTGATTTTAATGACACTTAAAATTAGACACAATATTATAGGTTATTAACTAAAAATTGAAAAAACAACAATCAATAATAAAAAATTGAAAAAATAAAAAAATTCTTAAAAAATTGCAAAATAACTCAATTTCGGGTTAAAATTGAAAAAAGATGTTGGATAAAAATAGTTTCTAAGATTTTCTAACAGCATATATGCAAAGTATTTTGATTTATTTGAAAATAATTGAAAATAGATTTTTCAAGGACGGTGTCGATGTCACGGGGTCGGTGTCGTTTTTCGAAATTTGTTAACTTAATATAATACAAGATGTTTCGTTTTAAATTAAGAAATGTTAAAATTATTAAGTTAAAAACATTTGATTTTAATGACACTTAAAATTAGACACAATATTATAGGTTACTAACTAAAAATTGAAAAAACAACAATCAATAATAAAAAATAATAATAAAAAATTGAAAAAATCAAAAAATTCTTAAAAAATTGCAAAATAACCCTTTTTCGGGTTAAAATTGAAAAAAGATGTTGGATAAAAATAGTTTCTAAGATTTTCTAACAGCATATATGCAAAGTATTTTGATTTATTTGAAAATAATTGAAAATAGATTTTTCCAGAACGGTGTCGAGGTCACGGGGTCGGTGTCGTTTTTCGAAATTTGTTAACTTAATATAATAGAAGATGTTTCGTTTTAAATTAAGAAATGTTAAAATTATTAAGTTAAAAACATTTGATTTTAATGACACTTAAAATTAGACACAATATTATAGGTTACTAACTAAAAATTGAAAAAACAACAATCAATAATAAAAAATAATAATAAAAAATTGAAAAAATCAAAAAATTCTTAAAAAATTGCAAAATAACCCTTTTTCGGGTTAAAATTGAAAGAAGATTTTGGATAAAAATAGTTTCTAAAATTTTCTAACAGCATATATGCAAAGTATTTTGATTTATTTGAAAATAATTGAAAATAGATTTTTCAAGGACGGTGTCGATGTCACGGGGTCGGTGTCGTTTTTCGAAATTTGTTAACTTAATATAATAGAAGATGTTTCGTTTGAAATTAAAAAATGTTAAAATTATTAAGTTAAAAACATTTGATTTTAATGACACTTAAAATTAGACACAATATTATAGGTTACTAACTAAAAATTGAAAAAACAACAATCAATAATAAAAAATAATAATAAAAAATTGAAAAAATCAAAAAATTCTTAAAAAATTGCAAAATAACCCTTTTTCGGGTTAAAATTGAAAGAAGATGTTGGATAAAAATAGTTTCTAAAATTTTCTAACAGCATATATGCAAAGTATTTTGATTTATTTGAAAATAATTGAAAATAGATTTTTCAAGGACGGTGTCGATGTCACGGGGTCGGTGTCGTTTTTCGAAATTTGTTAACTTAATATAACAGAAGATGTTTCGTTTTAAATTAAGAAATGTTAAAATTATTAAGTTAAAAACATTTGATTTTAATGACACTTAAAATTAGACACAATATTATAGGTTACTAACTAAAAATTGAAAAAACAACAATAAATAATAAAAAATAATAATAAAAAATTGAAAAAATCCTTAAAAAATTGCAAAATAACCCTTTTTCGGGTTAAAATTGAAAAAAGATGTTGGATAAAAATAGTTTCTAAGATTTTCTAACAGCATATATGCAAAGTATTTTGATTTATTTGAAAATAATTGAAAATAGATTTTTCCAGAACAGTGTCGAGGTCACGGGGTCGGTGTCGTTTTTCGAAATTTGTTAACTTAATATAATAGAAGATATTTCGTTTTAAATTAAGAAATGTTAAAATTATTAAGTTAAAAACATTTGATTTTAATGACACTTAAAATTAGACACAATATTATAGGTTACTAACTAAAAATTGAAAAAACAACAATCAATAATAAAAAATAATAATAAAAAATTGAAAAAATCAAAAAATTCTTAAAAAATTGCAAAATAACCCTTTTTCGGGTTAAAATTGAAAGAAGATGTTGGATAAAAATAGTTTCTAAGATTTTCTAACAGCATATATGCAAAGTATTTTGATTTATTTGAAAATAATTGAAAATAGATTTTTCAAGGACGGTGTCGATGTCACGGGGTCGGTGTCGTTTTTCGAAATTTGTTAACTTAATATAATAGAAGATGTTTCGTTTTAAATTAAGAAATGTTAAAATTATTAAGTTAAAAACATTTGATTTTAATGACACTTAAAATTAGACACAATATTATAGGTTACTAACTAAAAATTGAAAAAACAACAATCAATAATAATAAATAATAATAAAAAATTGAAAAAATCAAAAAATTCTTAAAAAATTGCAAAATAACCCTTTTTAGGGTTAAAATTGAAAAAAGATGTTGGATAAAAATAGTTTCTAAGATTTTCTAACAGCATATATGCAAAGTATTTTGATTTATTTGAAAATAATTGAAAATAGATTTTTCAAGGACGGTGTCGATGTCACGGGGTCGGTGTCGTTTTTCGAAATTTGTTAACTTAATATAATAGAAGATGTTTCGTTTTAAATTAAGCAATGTTAAAATTATTAAGTTAAAAACATTTGATTTTAATGACACTTAAAATTAGACACAATATTATAGGTTACTAACTAAAAATTGAAAAAACAACAATAAATAATAAAAAATAATAATAAAAAATTGAAAAAATCCTTAAAAAATTGCAAAATAACCCTTTTTCGGGTTAAAATAGAAAAAAGATGTTGGATAAAAATAGTTTCTAAGATTTTCTAACAGCATATATGCAAAGTATTTTGATTTATTTGAAAATAATTGAAAATAGATTTTTCCAGAACGGTGTCGAGGTCACGAGGTCGGTGTCGTTTTTCGAAATTTGTTAACTTAATATAATAGAAGATGTTTCGTTTTAAATTAAGAAATGTTAAAATTATTAAGTTAAAAACATTTGATTTTAATGACACTTAAAATTAGACACAATATTATAGGTTACTAACTAAAAATTGAAAAAACAACAATAAATAATAAAAAATAATAATAAAAAATTGAAAAAATCCTTAAAAAATTGCAAAATAACCCTTTTTCGGGTTAAAATTGAAAAAAGATGTTGGATAAAAATAGTTTCTAAGATTTTCTAACAGCATATATGCAAAGTATTTTGATTTATTTGAAAATAATTGAAAATAGATTTTTCAAGGACGGTGTCGATGTCACGGGGTCGGTGTCGTTTTTCGAAATTTGTTAACTTAATATAATAGAAGATGTTTCATTTTAAATTAAGAAATGTTAAAATTATTAAGTTAAAAACATTTGATTTTAATGACACTTAAAATTAGACACAATATTATAGGTTACTAACTAAAAATTGAAAAAACAACAATAAATAATAAAAAATAATAATAAAGAATTGAAAAAATCAAAAAATTCTTAAAAAATTGCAAAATAACCCTTTTTCGGGTTAAAATTGAAAAAAGATGTTGGATAAAAATAGTTTCTAAGATTTTCTAACAGCATATATGCAAAGTATTTTGATTTATTTGAAAATAATTGAAAATAGATTTTTCCAGAACGGTGTCGAGGTCACGGGGTCGGTGTCGTTTTTCGAAATTTGTTAACTTAATATAATAGAAGATATTTCGTTTTAAATTAAGAAATGTTAAAATTATTAAGTTAAAAACATTTGATTTTAATGACACTTAAAATTAGACACAATATTATAGGTTACTAACTAAAAATTGAAAAAACAACAATAAATAATAAAAAATAATAATAAAAAATTGAAAAAATCCTTAAAAAATTGCAAAATAACCCTTTTTCGGGTTAAAATTGAAAAAAGATGTTGGATAAAAATAGTTTCTAAGATTTTCTAACAGCATATATGCAAAGTATTTTGATTTATTTGAAAATAATTGAAAATAGATTTTTCCAGAACGGTGTCGAGGTCACGGGGTCGGTGTCGTTTTTCGAAATTTGTTAACTTAATATAATAGAAGATATTTCGTTTTAAATTAAGAAATGTTAAAATTATTAAGTTAAAAACATTTGATTTTAATGACACTTAAAATTAGACACAATATTATAGGTTACTAACTAAAAATTGAAAAAACAACAATAAATAATAAAAAATAATAATAAAAAATTGAAAAAATCCTTAAAAAATTGCAAAATAACCCTTTTTCGGGTTAAAATTGAAAAAAGATGTTGGATAAAAATAGTTTCTAAGATTTTCTAACAGCATATATGCAAAGTATTTTGATTTATTTGAAAATAATTGAAAATAGATTTTTCCAGAACGGTGTCGAGGTCACGGGGTCGGTGTCGTTTTTCGAAATTTGTTAACTTAATATAATAGAAGATGTTTCGTTTTAAATTAAGAAATGTTAAAATTATTAAGTTAAAAACATTTGATTTTAATGACACTTAAAATTAGACACAATATTATAGGTTACTAACTAAAATTTGAAAAAACAACAATAAATAATAAAAAATAATAATAAAAAATTGAAAAAATCAAAAAATTCTTAAAAAATTGCAAAGTAACCCTTTTTCGGGTTAAAATTGAAAAAAGATGTTGGATAAAAATAGTTTCTAAGATTTTCTAACAGCATATATGCAAAGTATTTTGATTTATTTGAAAATAATTGAAAATAGATTTTTCCAGAACGGTGTCGAGGTCACGGGGTCGGTGTCGTTTTTCGAAATTTGTTAACTTAATATAATAGAAGATGTTTCGTTTTAAATTAAGAAATGTTAAAATTATTAAGTTAAAAACATTTGATTTTAATGACACTTAAAATTAGACACAATATTATAGGTTACTAACTAAAAATTGAAAAAACAACAATCAATAATAAAAAATAATAATAAAAAATTGAAAAAATCAAAAAATTCTTAAAAAATTGCAAAATAACCCTTTTTAGGGTTAAAATTGAAAAAAGATGTTGGATAAAAATAGTTTCTAAGATTTTCTAACAGCATATATGCAAAGTATTTTGATTTATTTGAAAATAATTGAAAATAGATTTTTCAAGGACGGTGTCGATGTCACGGGGTCGGTGTCGTTTTTCGAAATTTGTTAACTTAATATAATAGAAGATGTTTCGTTTTAAATTAAGGAATGTTAAAATTATTAAGTTAAAAACATTTGATTTTAATGACACTTAAAATTAGACACAATATTATAGGTAACTAACTAAAAATTGAAAAAACAACAATCAATAATAAAAAATAATAATAAAAAATTGAAAAAATCCTTAAAAAATTGCAAAATAACCCTTTTTCGGGTTAAAATTGAAAAAAGATGTTGGATAAAAAAAGTTTCTAAGATTTTCTAACAGCATATATGCAAAGTATTTTGATTTATTTGAAAATAATTGAAAATAGATTTTTCAAGGACGGTGTCGATGTCACGGGGTCGGTGTCGTTATTCGAAATTTGTTAACTTAATATAATAGAAGATGTTTCGTTTTAAATTAAGAAATGTTAAAATTATTAAGTTAAAAACATTTGATTTTAATGACACTTAAAATTAGACACAATATTATAGGTTACTAACTAAAAATTGAAAAAACAACAATAAATAATAAAAAATAATAATAAAAAAATCGGACAAGTGCGAGTTACACTCGCACTGAAATCGAGGGTTCCGTACTCGAAGCGAACTTATTTGGTATAAAAACAAATGTTTAAAAAATATGTGTTGTATGTTAAATAATATATGTGATACAAAAAGGAACAATTTTTAAAAAAAATTTAAGAAAATTGTTCCTCCTTTGGTATAAAAACAAAAAAATTTTTAAATATGTGTTGTATTTCAAATAATATAAGTGATACGAAGAGGAACAATTTTCTTAAATTTTGCAAAATTGTTCCTCTTCGTATCACTTATATTATTTGAAATACAACACATATTTAAAAATTTTTTTGTTTTTATACCAAAGGAGGAACAATTTTCTTAAATTTTTTTTAAAAATTGTTCCTTTTTGTATCACATATATTATTTAACATACAACACATATTTTTTAAACATTTGTTTTTATACCAAATAAGTTCGCTTCGAGTACGGAACCCTCGATTTCAGTGCGAGTGTAACTCGCACTTGTCCGATTTTATTTTATAAATAATATTTTACTAAAAAAATGTAAGAAACATAATTTTATTTTAACTCGCAATATTTTTATTCTATTTACATTTTAAAAATACATTTAATATTAAATTTTATCTTTCTAAGTCAAAAAGAGATAAACCTTAAGATATTGATATAAGGCTAGTAGCTGCTTGTCAAGGAAAAATCGAAAGTTATCTAAAAAATAAAATTTGTTTATTAATTCTTATTGTTAATTAATTTATAATTTAATTAAATCTTTTGAAGATTAGTATTTTGCCAATTTCATTGAAATAATTAATGTTAGTCTCAAGTTTTGCTTTAAAATATTAGTGCATTAAAATTATTGTTAGAAAAAAAGAAACTTTGTTTATTTAAAGGAAACAACTTTCAATGATATTGTTTCCAAGACGCACCACGTGGAGGTAACTAATCATGCATCTCAACACAGAAAAAACCTAGTCTCATTTTTGTTGAAACTCAAAATAAGCCTATGATGATCGACATAGACAGTGGCGCCACCAACCTGTCTCATTTTTGGTTCACTTCAAAACGAATAACTTCTCATTTTGAGACCTGGTTTTTTCTGTGAAGCTGAAAAAATTAGATGAATTTGTTATACATTTGTTTAATATTTATATGAAACATTAATGATAACAAATAATACAAATAATTTAAGAAGCTGTTTTTTAAAATTTATAAATTGTAGTTTAATTTAGTTGTCTGTTAAATTAAATTTTTAATTTATTAAACTAAAATTGGAGGTTTAAATATTACTGTTTTTTAATTTTTCCGAGTTCAGCCGACCATTGATTAAATATAATATAATAATAAAATGTATAATAATATAATATCTATATACAAGATATTAATTTTAAAGATCGGCCCAACTTTTCCGGAGTTTAACCAACCGTTGGTAAAACATAAAAAAAGCATTTAATACAAGATATTATTTTTAGAGATCGGCCCAACTTTTTCAGAGTTTAGCCGACTGTTAGTAAAACATTAAAAAACAAGATATTATTTTTAGAGGTCGGCCCAACTTTTACGGAGTTTAGCCGACTGTTGGTAAAAGATTTTAAATAAGATATTATTTTTAGAGGTCGGCCCAACTTTTACGGAGTTTAGCCGACTGTTGGTAAAAGATTTTAAATAAGATATTATTTTTAGAGGTCGGCCCAACTTTTACGGAGTTTAGCCGACTGTTGGTAAAAGATTTTAAATAAGATATTATTTTTAGAGGTCGGCCTAACTTTTACGGAGTTTAGCCGACCGTTGGTTTAACAAAAAAAGAATTTTACACCAGATATTATTTTCAAGCGGTAGTTCCAATTTTTTCGATGTATAGCCGACCGTTCGCAAAATTTTAAAAAATGCATTTTATACAGGATATTAATTATAGAGATTGGCCCAACTTTTCCGGAGTTTAGCCGACCGTTTGTAAAACATTAAAAAACGCATTTTATTCAAGATTTTAATTTTAAAGGTTTGCTCAACTTTTTCGAAGTGTAGCCGACCGTTTATAAAAGATTAAGAAATGTATTTCATACAAGATATTAATATTAAAGGATCTGAAGTTTAGTTTAATTTTTTTTAGGTTTAGCCAATCTGTGGCATAATAGTCCAATTTATAAAATGTGAATGAAGCATAAAATGTAAACAATCTGTACAAATACAAATTTTTTAAAAATTGTTATTTTCTTAAAATTCCATTTTATTATTTATTGACCTCAAATCTAACCCACAATTGTTTGTGGTGACTAAAAAAGGTATCTATTGTACCTACGTCGATAGCATCTATATTCGAAAATATATTGTCTATGCTTGTATATTCTCTTGTTGTATTTATCATATTAATTTTACTATGTAAACCGTAATTAATAAAATATTTTGATATAACGTTATTAGGATATTTAGCGAAATCTAGATTAAAATCACCCATTACAATAATTGGAGAAAGTGATGTATTCTTTTTTAGTATATTTTTAAAAATTACCTTATTAAGACATTCAAGGGCAAAATTTATTATACACTTTGGAGATCTGTATACACTGATCAAACGGATCCCAAATAATCTTATTTCTAAACATTCACAGTGTCCACCAAGTGTGCTAAGTTTATAATAATGACTCAATTTATCAGGTTGAATTTTGTCTCTTAAAAATGATTTTATAAATATGATCGATCCCCAACCAGGATTCGCATTCATTTCATTTGGACCATCTATTCTTGTTACCTCATAAAAATCTTTAAAATTAAAATTATTGGATTTACAACTCCAAGTTTCTACAAAAAAAAGAACATGAGAGCCGTTAACGATTGGATCGACCTCAATATCAATTATGTGTTTCCTAAGTGACTGTACGTTATGAAAAATAATTTGAACCGTTTGCTTGGGTACATTGCACAAAAAACTATAGAATGGAACAAGCGGACTAGTTGATTCTAGTCTTTTTATTTCCATTACTACCGGATTAGTATCTTCTGGCGGGGATGGTGCTGGAAATTTAGCATTTTTTTTTAAAACTATAAACAAACCAGATGCGGCGGTTGCTCTCGAACATGCTACATATAGCATAGATCGACGAATATTTTGATTAATATGCACAACAACTTTTTCCATAGTTGCTCCTTGACTTTTGTGAATGGTTATTCCTTCTGCAGGTATTATAGGAAATTGTGTTCGCCTTACAATCAAATTAGATGATTTCCATCTTTTTATAGTGTACGTAATTAACTCAAGTGGTGTCCATTGGTTAATAATAAAACCGAGATTACGTCTATTTGGAGACTTAAAACTGTTTCTTGCTGATTTTCCTATATTTTTATTATTGAAATCCATCCACAATCTTAAAGGTCGACGCTCTCCATTATTCTTATTTGTACCAAAATCAATAGCTCTTAAGATACCTGTTGTACCGTTAACCAAGCCATCTGATGTATTTAAATTTATAGTTATCATAAAGCGAGCTGCAATTTTGATTATGAGCAATTTTGGTAAGCCATAAGTTTGTACAGTTGGAAGGGATTTAACTAACGTAAGTGCTTTTCGTTTTGCTACATTGTTCGGTGCTCCAGAGACAATATCAATAGCCCTTACTACTGAGCCTTCTGTTTTCATTGCAGATAGAATTCTATTATTATAATCGTCTACTTCCTTATTAGTTGCGAATAAATGGATTGCACCATCTGATTCAGAAGGTAATAAGTCTATTGTGAAACAACGTGACTCTAAAAGAGCAATGTCATTTAAAGTCATTTTTCCTGAAGCCATGTTGTTTAATGCAGTAGCAAAACTTAAATCATCTTTCTGACGCATTATTTTTTTCATGGTGAAAATTTTAAATGGCTCCCAATGAGGAGCACCGGCTAATAATGCCATAGGGTTTCCACTAGTATTAGGTTGAAAAACCCAGTTATCACCAACAGGTGATAATTGCCTAAAATCTCCAACAGCAATTATTGATATGCCAGCAAAAGGAACATTTGTGTGAAATATTTGTTGCAATCTTCTATTAATTTGATTAAATGTACGACTACCAAGCATAGAAATTTCATCCAAAATAATCAATTTTACTGACATTAATTTAGAGGCAAGAGTGTTAGATGTCGAAGACGACAATTCAGGCATAGTATATCCGCATTGTGATATCGGTAAACTAAAGGCACTGTGTACAGTTTGCCCAGAGATTCCGAATGCTGCTTTTCCTGTAAACGCAGATAAAATTATTTTTAGATCATCAGGATTTGAACCAGGAATTCTATTAAAGTGATAAACCATAAGATATTGATATAAGGCTTTTATCAACAAGCTTTTGCCGACACCTGCACCACCATATACTAATAAATTTAAAGGTGGTGTATTATCAGTTTTAGTGGAAAAATAATTTCCAACGTGCAAAATAAAATTTCTTTGATCATCATTTAGAATGCGAATCAACGGAATTACTTCCTCTTGATTTAGTACAGCCGGTTGAGTGATACTAATATTTTCATTTACAGCAATGTCAGGAAAAATGTCAGGAAAATTACATTCATGATCTTTATCCTCTTCTTCATTTTCATATTCAAAATCTTTGATTGGGTTACTATTACAGGAAATGTCTTCTTCGTTATTCGATTGCACAGAAATACCATCTCGGACTGCATTTAAAAGTTGATCAAATTCATCAGAATCGCCTAATTTGTTAAATTTTTTACTTTCGTTCTGAATAATATCAATAAACCTTTCAAATTTATTTTTAATATTAATTTCTGGATTAATTAGTTCTACCTCCTCATTACGCCATGGAACGTATAACATTAATTGTTCTCTGTAGAAGTTTTCAGGTTCTATTTGTACATTAAACCTACAAAATCGAATTATTCTCATTTTTTTACGACGACGTACGTATCCATCATCATTTTGGAGTTTAATCCATGAACTTAGTAGCTTCTCACTATCAACGTTATCAGAAATATCTTCTTCTGCACTTTCGTTGTCAATTTTCGATTTATTA